AATTATTTCTGCTAAATTGTTGCAAACAATTTATATGGGTTAAAATTTAACTAACAAATTAAATTTAGTAATGTTCAACTTTGTTTGTACGGGTACTGTGAACTTACTCTATTTAAGTTGAAGTAATGAGGTATTTAATTAACTCATTAGCTTCAACACTGAGTTTAAAACTCTATTCAAATGAGTAGAGTTAACTTTTAGTAAATTTTGAGTTGACTGCACTCATTTCATCAAGTTGACTGTTGGTTTTTACAGTGTACGGGTTGAATTTAAACAAGCTAATTAAATGTAGTAATGTTCAACCTAATTTGTTTGTTTAAATTCAGCCCAAATAAATTGTTTACAACTACTTAACTTTAGAAAAGTATATCCAATGAAACGTTTAATTTTTTTTTAGGGTATAGCACTTCAGTTGGTAATCCTACACCGTAAATCCCAAGAAGTTAAGGTAACTCAAACCATTTGAGAAAACCGATTACAACAAACCATTTAAGTTCAAAAACTAATCCAAATGAGTACTGTGAACTTAATCCATTTGAGTAAACGAAGCAATTTGAGCTCAGTAAAACCCGATAAATGAAGAGAATTCAATTTTGAGACCCACCACAATTTGACGTATAGGAGTGGGGTTTTTACCGCCCACCGAAGTGATTGACAGTCGTGTATTAGCATGTCTGTAGTAACGTGTATAATCATATCCACAAGACAGGACGTGCAAAAGCAACTGGGATTAAAAGATCTGTTCAACTCTCTGTGATCATCAATCATCATCAAATGTGATTAAGAATGAGTTTAACAAGTTTAAAACGTTTTTAAAACAGTGCATGTTTGTAATGAATTACAGCGATTTTACCGTCTTTATCACCACAGCCGCATATCAGTATAATTATAAACGAAGACGCTTCAATCCCAGTTTGTGGACGATAAATCAGGTTTATTTTGTACATGAACATAACGGATATCCATACAGCAGAAGAGCTTGTATCCTGACATTTGCCATGCAGTGTGTGTCCGTGAACTTGTGTGTTACACATCGTTGCAACTTCACAATCAAAATATCATTGGGGAAGTTCTTACTGTAGTGTTTCTCACAAACGTTATGTGAGATATGCATCCTTCATGTCTGTCACTGTGCTGTTTATCTGACGCAGCCTGAGATTGAGACACACTCTGACATTACTCAATTGCCAATTAAAATGTGCCTTGTGCACCTGTATGTGCATCTCTTCTCTTAACAGGGACGAATGACAATCGATGTGGAGCTTCACCTCCCCAAAAGCGCCAAAGTCTTGCCCAAGAACAGCCCTCCAGTGCACTATGACGTGTTCCTCTATAAAGTGGCTAAATCTCCAATGGTGGACAGCAGGGTGAAGCACAGGGTGAGATGGGAGGACTGTAAACACTGTATCTGTGATCCTCCGTTCAGCAGCTCCATAAGCACTCGATCTCTGCCCGCCATCATACACACGAGGAGCCCGCCAACACACGCCATGCAGCCCGTGTTCGCCCTCTGAGCACGGACAGACAGACACACACACCACAGGCTATATTTATCAGCATTTATCAGCAGTCAGAAATGGAGACTTTGGGGTTTCATGGCTTCATAAAATGGTGCTCTGAATGTATACGTTTCAATATGACATTTTTATCAGCTGATGTGATGTTTCTATACGTCTTACCTGGAGTCAACATGGACTGATGTTCTCTAATTATAATTAAATGCACTTTACAATAAAGCATAGCCTTTTTAATAACATTTTGCATTAATGTTCCATTTTATAACAATTAAAAAGAGTGTCTTCCTGACCTTGAGCGCTGAAAAGAGAATTACATTTACTCGTTTAGCAGACACTTTTATCCAAAGTGACTTACAAATAAAGATAAATGAAAGCATATCAAATCAAAAGAGAGCCGCAATATATAGATGTCTTGACAAGTGAATGTTTCTAATTATTATGTATTTGTAGGAGGAATATAGAGATAAAGAGGAAAGAGTGTGTCTCACTTACATCTAGTTTGTCAAGCCTGAACTGTGTGAAGCACACTTAGGATTGCACAATGTTATCCCAGTAACATGGAGTTATAATTAAGTGTCTGGTGCATATGGAGAGGAAAAGAGTGTTTCCAACAGGTAACTACATTCATTCATTTTCTTGTCGGCTTAGTCCCTTTATTAATTTGGGGTCACCACAGCGGAATGAACCGCCAACTTATCCAGCACATTTTTACACAGCGGATGCCCTTCCAGCCGCAACCCATCTCTGGTAAACATCCACAAAACTCATACACACACACTCATACACTATGGACAATTTACCCTACCCAATTCACCTGTACCGCATGTCTCTGAACCAGAGCACCCAGAGGAAACCCACTTGAATGCAGTGAGAACATGCAAACTCCACACAGAGACGCCAACTGAGCCGAGGATCGACCCAGTGACCTTGCTTTGAGGCAACAGCACTACCTAATATTATCATTTATATTTTTATAAAGATATATTAACGCTTTAAATAATATACATGTTTAATATATACATACCATTAAAATTATGCAAGGCTGCACTTATCTATAACATATACAGTAATACAGTACACATGAACCTTCAAAGAGAGCCTAAACTATTGTATAATTATTAAAACAAAAATTGAAATTACACCTTTTTTAGGACTACACTTTTAATGTTAGCTATTTAAATATTGGAATTTAAAAGAAAATAAACCAATTGAAATAAACTTGACTTCTGAAATAGCAATAATGAGATTATTTTATTGCTAAACCATGTGCCACTGAAGACTGTAACAAGTACAGCACCATACTGAAGACAGCTGAAGACAACCCATGACAGAATTGTTTATGACTCTTAAAAGAACTTAACATGATTGCATTCAAATCCAATGTAGCTCCACTGCATGAGGATTTCATTTCCCGAGCGCCTTTCTACATGCTAATAAAATGTTATCATCAGTCTACCAAACCTGATCTCCATTTAGGATGACCTGATGTGTTTTGGGGAAACAGGGTCTGAGAAGTTCTTATAGTCTTAAGTACCCCGAAAGCCCATGGCTGAGGTATGTGCGAAAGTGAGCTACGACGTGTGGTCGAAGGGGCCCCGCAATACCAAAAGCAACAGGGCCTTCTCTTGAACCGCAGGGAGCTCCAGGGCCTCTTTGTGTCACATGGGATTAAATTAGCACGCTCCATTAGCTTCTCAGTGACACAAAGACACAATGGCCTGCTAGTGAAACCTAAGACACGCTCAGTCTTAGAGCTTTATTTCTCACACATTTTCATAATTTTGCATATATTTATAAATTAATTAAATAAAAACGCTTTGTATTTTGTGATTTGTTAGTGTTTACTGTTTGTTTACTCTTTTGAATTACATTATGGGACCTCAATGTCTGCTCCGTCAACTTTTAATGTTAAAAGCATATCTTTACAGGTGACGTGATGGCAGTGGTTAGCACTGTTGCATCACAGCAAGAAGATCGCTGATTTGAGTTCTGGCTGGGTCAGTTGCCATTTTTGTGTGGAGTTTGCTTGTTCTTTGCGTGTTTGCATGTGTGCTCCAGTTTCCCCCAAAGACATGCGCTATAGGTGAATTGAATAAACTAAATTGGCCATAGTGTGTGTGTGTGTGTGTGTGTGTGTGTGTGTGTGTGTGTGTGTGTGTGTGTGTGTGTGTGTGTGTGTGTGTGTGTATGTGTGTGTGTGTGTGTGTGTGTGTGTGTGTGTGTGTGTGTGTGTGTATGGGTGTTTCCCAGTGATGGGTAGCAGCTGGAAGGGCATCCGCTGTATAAAACTTATGCTGGATAAGCTGGCGGTTCATTCCGCTGTGGCGACCTCTGATGAATAAAGTTAGTAAGCTGAAGGAAAATGAAAATAAAGTATATCTTTACACTTTAACATTTAACTTTTTAAGGTAAACATTATTTTTTATTTTTTTTATTTTGTTTTTGTCAGAACACTACCAACTTTAATATGGTAAAATATTTGAATAAGTAAGTGAACATATTTAAATGTAATTTATTCCTGTGATTCAGTTCAAAGCTGTCCTTCAACTCAAAGCTGTAAATATGTCAAAATTAAACAGCACAGAATTATTAGGTATTTCTTAAAATAGGTCTACATATGATCATATTAAATTTTTACTATATTTTAAATAATTAAAAACATCTTGCTGACATGTAAAACATTGTGGTTTGCTCTAGATCAGTGGTTCTCAAACTGTGGTAGGTGTACCACTAGTGGTACGCAGGCTTCCTTCTAGTGGTACGCGGAGGAATGAAATATGTCATGTACATGCTACATACATTTCAAAATTGATCAAAAATTATGTATATAATATGCCATATATGCCATATAGCCTATATTTCTGATGTAATCTGCCACATTTTTTAACTGTGTAGAGTTGTAGCTGCTTAACTGGGCCGACTGCGCTACTGTATTTTAATACTGCTCAGTTTGGTGGTACTTGGAGAGACAATTTTTTTCTGAGGTGGTACTTGATGAAACGTTTGAGAACCACTGCTCTAGATGACAATAAAGCCATTTTCTTGTTTGCTTGCATTCTATTGTACAGATGGGTTGGCTCTTCGTCATTCATAAAAATGTTTGGGGTACTTAGGTTACATAGCATACACTAGTTTAACAACAGTATACACCAAACAATTTTGGCATATTCTTTTTCTAAATAGGTCAGGATTATGATAACAATATGCCACGCTGATTTGGACTAGCTAAATTATTGTTAGTACAGTCAGTTTGTGCTGTGTAATGTATGCTAGTAATTTTTATCTATGACAAAGATGCAACACATCTGTCCAAAAAGATGCAGGTAAACAAGAAAATGGCGTGGTCTTTTCTGTCATCTAGTGGTTGAGAAATCGAGTTACTAGAGCGTGTGGTAACACTAGACTAGAGTGTGTGGGACTTTTATTTTGAAACCAGTCTCGCTGTTTTTCTGTTCCGTTGCCGCTTGCTTATCACTTCAATACTACTGAGGACCCTTATGTCACTGAGTAGCACCTGAAATCGCGCTGTCCAAATTACATTATTATATGCAGGTAACAGTTGATTTTAACTATTTTTATGAATGTAGTTTATGTTTATGAAGGCTGTTATTTTATGTTTTATTATTTGTTTTAGTTTTTTATCCGTTTATGACGTTTTTATCTGTTTTATCATATCAGCCAAGGCAAGTAACTTGTTATGTGTGTTAGAAACTCTTGTCATTCAAATTTAATGTAACTTTTTACCAATTTCCTTTAAAGAATATTTAATATTTTAGGGATAGTTAAAGTGTTTCTGTTTCATATTGATGCTCGTGGTACGTTACGATGTTTTTCTGTCCAATATATAAATATGCAGACTCAATCCTGCTTGACTTTGCATATATTTTCAGTCAGTCAGCTTATTAAATATACATTACAGCTACTGAAAACAATTGAGATAATACTTGACAACATGGATTTCATTAAAATGTTCTCTTATTTGTTTTGTTTATTAATGGTCTGGCACCATTTCTTCCCAATTTCTAATCAAAAAAGTCATTTAAAAATTTGTTTAGAAAAAAATTGGATAACTAACCAGAATAACAGATATTAGCATACAATCTCAAAGCAAACTGCACAGAGGAATGCCAACTGGCCCAGCCGGGACTCGAATCAACAACTTTCTTGCTGTGAGGTGGAAGTGGTAACCACTGAGCCAAAGTGTCACCCACTTTGGCTTGAATGAACATTTCAAGTGAGAATGATTGTTATTCATACAAACAAAGCAAAACTGAAAAAAAAAAAAAAAACAGATTATTGTCAAGTCATTGAGCATTTTCCTGAGTTATTAATTATATACATTAAAGAAGACGTCCATTGAATCGAGGCTTTGAGTCTCACAGTCTTTACATTATGAACTGTATAAATATCCAAGATTACATTAAATTTCTAAACCTATTAATGAAATGTTTGTCCACTCAGTCTTTTAGAAAAGCTTAGTCAGCTAAACATTCTGCACTCGAAAAATAATGAGTTGTTTTAACCCAACGTCGGGTTAAATATAGACAAACCTATCTGTTGGGTTAAAAATTTCATTTAAATATTAATTCTTTCATTTTCCTTCGACTTAGTTCCTTTGTTACTCAGGGGTCGCCACAGCCAATTGAACCGCAAACTTATTCACGATATGTTTTATGCAGCGGATGCCCTTCCAGCTGCAACTCATCACTGGGAAACACCCATACACACTCATTCGCACACATACACTACAAAAAGTTTAGCTTACATAGTTCCCCTATACCACATTAACCACACCCAGATTAATAAAGGGACTTGGGGAAAAAAGGTGAATGAATAAAGTATAGTGAAGTATCTAATAGTATA